CGGAGCACGGCACACCCGCCGGCAGAGGGGGCTGCATATCCACCGGAACTAGATTCGTGTCCTTTGGCCCAGGAGTGCTCCTCCTAGGAACCAGTTCTGCAGACAGACAGATGGACAGAAAAGAGGCTTCCGTGCTGGGGCAGCGCCGGCCTGGAAAGCACACAGGTGTCTCCCATTGGCACCCAGAGCAGCGGCAGTGGAGGCGGCAGGCGCCGGCTCAGCGGACACACACACACACACACACACACACACACACACGGCCCTGTGGCCCTGGACAGACGGGGGCTGTGGCCGTCTTCAGCAGGTGCTGTGAGGGGAGCTGGGGTGCGAGTGTTTCTTCGAGACGCGCGTGGTAAGGGCCAGCAGGTTACATTTTCACAAGTGGACCGGGCAGCCATAGAGTTCGTTGGGGTGGAGGGACGGCCAAGGAGTCCCCACGGCACTGTGAGCATGGCCCCGACTATGAATAAGGGCGAGGGGGCGGAGAGGCTCAGATGTGGGGCTCAATAACCTGGGGGCAGGGGCCCGTCCCTTCCCGGGGAGCTGCAGTCACACCCCCGGGGCCACGGCGCTGCTCCGCCCCCCCCCAGCACCAGCTTGCTGGGGGTGCAGGGAGAGGTGCTGGGCCACAGAGGCCTGCCGGTCTAACCAGGGTGGACCTATCCAAAGCCCATGAAAGCCTGGGAAATTGATGGTTCTTCTGGAAAAGCACCTGGTCCGTCCAGAACCCAAGCTCCTGGCTACGTGCCCAGGGGATCAAAGCGCGCTCCCTTGCTCTCTCTCGTGACCCACACTCGCCTGGTGCACTGGAGTGTGCTCTCTCCACAGCCATGTGGCCTCAGCGGCCGTGGCTGATGGCCAAGAGGACTGCACACTTGGGCTCCAGGGGCAGCCGGGACACCCCGGCCAGCCGTGGACTGCAGCCCAGAGCCCAGGCACAGGACCTCGGGCTGTTTCTGGCCCTGCTTGTCCCTGGCGGGACCGATGGACACGGAGCCTCAGGGCAGCCTTCCACTCCAACGAACCGTTCTGCCGGCCGCCACTTCCTGTGCACGGGTCCTTGGAGCGCTCGCCTCGTGCTCCTGTGGAAGAGGCCCGTTTCCACCAGAAACACAGGGTCGTGCGGGGCTGCAGCCCGAGCCCACGGCCGTCGTTGGCGCTGATGAGGGAGAAACAGGGCCCCCGGGCCGCAGAGCTGAGTGCTCCAGGGGCCGGTGGGCCCAGCCTGGCCCCTACACTCCTCCTCAAAACCAGAGGTGACCCTGCCCTGAGGGAGCAGAGCCAGGTCCCAAACCCCACCGTGTCCCCGGGACCACCGGGACTCTTCTGTTCATCTCAAATGCAGCGGAGCTAGTTTACATCTGTTAGGTGTTCATGGGGGCAGATCCGGTAAAACCGAGTGAAGCAGACATGGGACCCTGAGCAAGAGATGATCACAAACGGAGAGAGGAAAGAACTAGGAGCACTTCCGAACCTTGGCTGCAGCCCGGCCGGCCCTGGCCAGCTGGCCCCGGCTCCCACCTGCCTCCTGCCCAGGAAGCCCGGCCGGCCAGGCCCTCGCCCCAACCACCTGCTCCCAGGGCACCCAGGTCTCCGAACTCACCGCCGAAGCTCTGTGACCCCCACGGCTGACCCAGGCCTGGGGGCGGGCTGGTGGGCCAGGACATGAGAGAGAAGACCCGGGACCGGGACTGGGAAGGGCACGGCTCCCGCAGGGCGGGCACTGCCACCATGCCTCGCTGCAGGAAGTGGCCCTGAGAAGGAAGTGCAAACAGGTGGAGCGGGCAAAGTCTGCGGGAGGTGGGAACAGTGTGCCTGCTCCTGCGGGCTGCGTCCGCCAGGCCAGAGGCAGGGGAAGGAGGCAGCCTTCGCCCCGAGCAGTCCCCCACGGGCAGGACACAGAGCGGCTCAGGTCCCCAGGCAGGCCTGGCCTTGGGACACCACCCAGGGCTTTGCACTGCCACCAGCCTGGTGGGCAGGCTGCCGCCTCAGGTTCTATAGACTCCCCTGCCCCCCACTGAGTCAAGCCACCCGGCGAGTCCCTCCCGGTCGGCGGGGCCCCCAGATCTGTAGCCCCAGCTCTGCCCGGACTGCGCCCTGGTGGACCAGTGACAGGTGTGAGAATACAGACTGAGGCTGACGCATCCAAGGCCTGGGGACATCTGCCCCGCGGCGGTGGGGGGTGCAGCCCCCAGGGTGGGACCTGCTCGGGCCCCAGACAACTGGGGAGCAGCCTCTGTTCCCCGGCTGCTTGGCGGGCACTTCCAGGCTGCCCAGGACTCCAGGGCAGACCAGAGGGCAGAGCAGACAGTCACTGGGGGACACACTGTTGAGTGTGGCCAAGCCCAGATCACCAGGCAGCGCCATCGAGAACAGGCCTTCAACAAGGGCCCTGAAGTCCGGACAGCGGCTGGTGGACGCAGGCCCTGTACTGCAGAGGCCACCCAGGGGTGGGGGCTGGGGGCTCCTTCGGCGCTGCCTGTGGCGGGAAGGTCTGCCCTTGGCCAGCTCAGGCCTGGGGGCAGGAGGGAGCTGGTCGGGAGGTGCACGGAGACCACGCCCACTGCACCCAGACACCCGCCTCCTCAGCCCAACCACACGGGTCCTAGGACCTCGGGGGCCACTGCCCCCCAGGCTGCCTTCCCACCTCCCTCCCCTGGCCTCCGCCGTGCCCCCGACTGGGCCTCTTGCCAATCATGTCCCTCCCCACCACCCAGCAAGAGACTAGGGATGTCCCCAGATCCGGTCACAGCCAGGGTGTCTGGCTGAGGAGCCCCCAACCCTCCGCCCCTCCTGGGAGAGCTCCGGAGGGTCCTGGGCCCCCCGCCCAGGGGCGATGGGGCTGGTTTCAGCCTTCTGCTGCAGCCCCCCCCTTTGGAGGGCCGCACACCCCCTCCTCCAAACAGGTGCTCTGCGGGGAACCTCAACCAATGACAAAACGCGTGGCTTTGTCTGTTTTCATGTAACTGATGGCTTTGCAGCCAACAAGCAGGCAACAGAGACTGACAGCGAGGAGGGGATGGCAGAGCCCAGAGGTGCAGGGCCAGCTCGAGGGCACCCCCTGCAGGCCTCCCTGGGACTCTCCCGCTGGAGGGGCCCACAGGGCCTGTGTCCTGCCTGGGGCATGGCTGCCAGGACGGATGGACGTGAAAGGTCACCAGGCTGGGCCCCCGGGTCGAAGTGACAGGCCGACTTTCTGAGTTCTGGAGGCCGGAGGTCAGAAGTCAAGGCGCTGACTAGGAAATTCAGTTCCCGGCCAAGTCCCCCTTTCTGGCCGGCAGACGGCTACCTTGCGGCTGCCCGCACTTGGCCTGGGGTCTGCCCCTCCGAGGACACTGATCCCGTCACGTGGCCTCACGACCTCCCCCAGGCCCCCTCCTGGCACCACTGCGTGGCATAGGGCTTCACTGTGAACTTGGGGGACACAGCTTAGCACACAGCATGCCCCCAGGAGCCAACGGGCAGGTTCCAGGGGTCCTTCCAGTTTTCGGGCCCTGGGTGCGTTCCCTAACGAGGGTCCCCAGTGCAGATGGCAGCAGGTGGATAGTTTTCACCCGAACAGAACTCCCCCACGGAGTAGAGGTGGCCAGCTGCCAGCTGCGAGTGGCAGGACCTGCCTGGGACAAGTCGGGGGCTGTGAACCTGGCCTTGCAGCCCACGTGGTGCTGGACACTCCCTGGCTGTGGCCCAGCTGTGGTGCCTGCCGGGCCACATGTCCCCACCTTCCCGCCCCTGCGCACAGCTCCTGGTACACTTGTGTCGGCGTCAGCCTCTGGGGGGCCCGCCCTCAGTCCCAGGGGAGGGCCAGTGAGGGCCTGTCTGCAGCCCAGGGGGACTGTGATGTCCAGCACGGGAGTGGCCTTGTCCAAGTCCAATGTTAACCTGCTCTAACGCTGAATCAAAAGGTGCCAGGGACTGGAATGTGCCAGTGTGCCCTGCAAGCTGCGGGTGTTGAGAGATGCACACAAGAGACTCTGAGTGGCAGGCAGGTGGCTGAAGGCCAGGGGGAGGCCTGGGTCATTCATGGAACAGCTGTGGCTGGAGGGCAGAGCCAGCTAGGGACCCACAGACTGCAGAGGGGGTGGGGCTTGGAGAAAAGGGGCCCCCACAGCAGATGCCAGTGGCAAGGGCTCCCCCAGACGCCCCGCCGCTGCCCACAATAGCACTCTGCTGGGTGGCCGCGCACTGGGCAGAGGAGAGGGGCACTGGCCGTCAGAAGCCCACCGGGTCCGGAGCAACACGGACCATCAGAGCAGGAAGTGCAAGGCAGCTGACGACAGGATTTGGCAGGAACCAGCCCACAGAGGGCCCTCGGGGACATTTTCTGGTGTCTCCGCACATGACTGCCACAAACATGGGGCACACGGCCAAGGACCAACAGCTGCCACGGGTCACGTCCATTGGGAGGGCCCGAGGAGACCGTGACCACCACCCCACACAGCCAGCAACACCGGCACCGTGGGGTCAGCGTGAGGACTGCCCTTAGACTCTGACGGGGTGGGGGTGGTGGCTCTGTGCCTGTTTGAGTCTGTGTGGGCCCTGTGGACGGGGTCCCCCCAGGGGGTGGCCAGCCCAGACCACTGGGCCTTGGGCGCAGAACTGCGGCCACAGCAGGAAGCCAGGGAAGCTCAGGAGCTGGCCCAGGCCCCACTCACACAGGCCGGTCAACGGGCTTGGCAGCGTTTCCCAGGAACCTGTCACAATCTAGGACACTCGGCTGGCTGGACACCCTGGCAGACTGAATCAGAGGCAAGATGGGGCCTGTTGAAGATGGGGAGAGACGCACGCACATGGCGCTGGGGACAGAGGGCCACCGCTTCCCACGGCTGGAACACCAAGCACTGGCCGGGGACGGCAAGGCTGCCAGGTGAGGAGACGGCGGGCAGCCCCTGCTTCCTGCCGCGCCCCCTGGCACCTGCTCTGGGCCGCCTGCGGGCCAGTCCCCTCCCAGCACCGCCACACAGGCCACAGTCTGCAGTGGCTGGGACAGGACACGTGGCGACTTCTCAGTGCTCGTGTTTATTTGCACAGTCACTTCCTAGAAATGCCACAAACACGTGGCGACTCTCTCGCCAGGCAGCTGCAAGGCCTCCCCGGCCCCGAGGGAAGACTGCAGGGTCCCTGGGAGCTGCTGTCTCGGCTCAGGGACCAGGACGACCACGCCGGGCTTTTCTCGCCCTCCCTGCTGCACCTGCCCATCCTGGGCTGCCTCTCCCCGGGACCAGGAGTCTCCACCAGGGGGAGCCACAGGGCACCCAGCATGGGACCGGAGGCCACAGTGAGTCTGGTGGCACCGTGAGAGGACACCATAAGCCGGTGGGAGCCCGAGGACGCCAGTCTCCGGAGCTGGCACGCAGGGCCGTCCAGTCAGGTCTTCATCACCGCCCTGAAGGAGGCCTGGGGAGGGAGCGGCACAGTGTGGGCGGCGGCAGAGACTGCAACCGGGAAGCTCTGTCTGCTGCCCCGAGACACCAGTGCCCCCCAGTCCCAGGGCACCAGGCAGCCCCCACGCCACCCCACGTACCTCCTGGAGGGGCTGCCCCAGCATCTCCTGGCTGTGGATGGAGCGCCTGTGGCAGAGGACACCTGGGTCGGCCTGGGCTCTCCCCTTGCGCCCAGACCCACCGACGCCCCACAGGCTGACAGGAAGGAGGCTACTGTCAGCCTCCCGCCTCAGCAGGACAGCTAAGAGTGGGGGACCACGGCAAAGAGGGGTCTCGGACGCTGAGGACTGCAGGCCCCCAGAGCCCCACCTGTCTATCCTGGTTGCTATGGTCACTGTGAAGGCACCCTCTGTGTCCGGCAAGTAGGTGGAGGGCACAACCCTGTAAGTCCCTGCGGAGAGGTGGCAGACCCGGCTCACTTCCAGGGCGTGGCGATGTGGCACGCAGCTCACCAGGGGCTTCTGGAGCAGCAGGGGGCATGTCCCCTGGCCCCCACCATCTGCTGGAACCTGGGGAGGCACAGGCACAGGCTCAGAGGCCCATCTCCGGAACGTCACGTCAGTCTGCAGCTGCTCGCGCCCCCAGGCCTGAGGCAGCCCTGGCTGGGGACATGCTGGGACACTGTGGGCCCAGCCCCTGGGGTCCCAGCCCCCAGTCCCTCCGCTGCACACGTCCCCTTCCGAGGAAGGGGCGATGGGCCGCCCCGCCGCCCCTGCCTAGGTCCCACCCTGCTCAGGCCCTGAGCCACCGAGTGGCCACCAGCACTTTTCCCGAAGCCACCAGTGTCTGCTTTGGGGGGGAGGTGGACTCCACAGCCGCCCAGGGTGCAGAACCTTCTCAATCAGAAAACCCTGCTCTCCCCTCGGATCACCTGTGCACCAGGCTTCACGTGCCCCTTTGCCCTGGGATCCTGGGACAGGGCTCCAAGTCAGCCCCCGGGGCACCAGCCCCTCCCCCAGGCTGGCTGGAAGTGGGGCTCCCAGGAGCACAAGGGCCTGTGGGCTGGGGAGCCACACTGGCCATGGGACGGGCCTACCACCTCTGACCCTCCCCTGCTCCATCTGCAGGGCTGCTGAGGTGTCTTGTCTGCACGGCGCATGCTCTAGGGGGCGCTCATGGGGCACCCGCCCTTCCTTGGCCTCCACACACTTGGACACCCGCAGGGGCACTCCCGGGTTCCCACCCCTTCTAGGGGCTCCCGGGGCTCACGCCTGTTCTGGGCAGAAGGTGGGAACACCACGCTCGCAGCCCACATTCCTAGAGGCTGCCTCTCCCTGCAGCCCGTCTGGGGTTCAGGAGCCGCCGGCCGCACTGGGCCCACGGTGGTGCGTTGGCCCAGCTCCCTGGCACCGGGGCGCGCAAGCTCCTCAGCCCCATTTGGTGTCTTCTTTCGGATCTGAAAGCCCTGGTGGTACCCCTCAGGTGGCAGAGCAGCTGTCAGTCCCCAGATGGTCGGTCTCGTGAGGGTAGCCTCCCCCACAAGTCCTGGCCATCACTGCCGCTCCCCACCCCCTGCACTGGTGGAGGCTGAGGGGACGCAGTTCTAGGTGCTGCTGCACCGCCCACTGCTCCCGCGGTGCTGCTGGGCCTCTGGGGCCGGGGCGGGGGTCAGGGGGTGGGTGGAACACAGTCCTGGGGAGCAGAACTGACCTCGTGACACAGCTGGTCGGCGCCAGAGCAAGGGGACAAAGGGCTGCCTGGGCTGAGCTGGGACCCCCCAGTAAACTACAGACTTTGTGAAACCCAGAAATGAGTCTGACCCGTTAACGGCCAGTGTGGCCAGCATGCCTGAGTGACCGAGTCCAGGCCTCCAGGTCATGCCCCGCTGACCCCGGAGGGCCCCCGCCAACCCTGCTCCAAGGAGCTTGCCTGGAAAACGTGGAAGCCGATGGGGTGGCAATCACCATCCGGGCGGTGCTGGAGCAGAGAGATGCGGACGCAGCGGGGGCCCATGCCCTCGGGGACCGAGATGGGGAAGCAGGGGTTGCTGGGAAAGGAGGCGAAGTTCCTGCTGCCCCCTGCCGTCTGGCCAGCCCGCCAAGAGCCCTGCAGCTGCACAGTCTCCCACTCCCCCGCCGACAGGGTTGCTCCGGGGTCTGGGCTCTGGGCCCCCGTCTTGATGGCGCTGCCAAGAGACGAGCATGGGCTGGGACCCGGGGGACGGCCTGAACCTGCCCCTGAGGAGCCGGCCCGACGACCCTCACCTGAGGGACACGCGCCCACTGGAGAAGACCCGGAGCAGAAACTGCCCTGGCACGCCCTTCAGGAAGGTGCTGGGGACAGCCAGGTAGTAGCCAGGGGCCAGTTCACAGCGCAGGTGGACCTCGCGGTCATACGCGTGGCAGGCGGTGCCAGCCACAGGGGGTGCAGACAGGACCCTGGGCAGGCTGACCCGCCGCTTCTCCACCTGTGGAGAGGGGGCCGAGTGGAGACGGGACACTCCCCCTCCCACCCTGGCCTTGGGGCCTCGCTCCAAGGGAGCTGATGCAGCAGAGCACCTGCCTCCCAGGGGCCGGCCAAAAACACCAGTGACCCTGGGCACGCGGTCAGCCCTCCAGCTCCGGGGAACCCAAGGTGGACAGGACTAGGCCCCACGGCAAGGGGGGCCGAGGCTGCTGGGGAAAGGCCAGCCGAGCCCCTTCTCAGGAGGACAGGAGTGAGACATGCTCCACGTCCACAAAGGGGTGGGGGCACTGTGCCGTGAGCCATCCCAGCTGGGCAGCACACAGGTGGCCCTGCACGGGCCAGGCTCTTGTCCCCAGGGGAGCGGGACAGGCGTCTCCATCAGGTGCCAAGCAGCTTCTCGGACAACCTCTCAAGACCAGGTGTAAGGAGGGGACCGAGGGAGCAGGGAGGGTGAAGTGGCGACCAGGAACCCAAGGGCCGTCCCGCTGGCTGGCTCTGCCTGGGGCTTTGGTTCTGGATTCCTCCAGCCCAGACACTCCCGGGCAAGGCAGGCACGCAGTCCTGCCGACTCGGATCAGTGCTGGGCTTGCAGGGCACCAGCAGGCACGGGACCCCAAGACAGCCAGGGCAGGTGGGGGTCCTCCCGTCCCAGCCCCCAGCCCAACTGAGTAGGACACTGGCCCAATGGACTTACCTTCCAGAGATGCAGGCCCACAGCCGGGTAGTCCCTGCCCGGGATGCTTGCAGGGCTCCATGCAGCACGGTCGTCCCCCACCGGGGCCCGGCCGGCCCAGCCCGCCGTGCACCCTCTGGGCCTCTGTAGGACTGCAACGCACACCTCACTGGGTTCCGAGACCCGCAGCCAGAACTTGGGGTTGCTGGGGAAGCTGCTGTTGTTGCGGCAGCCGCCTGCGGACCGCCCCTGGACCCAGGCACCCGGCAGCTCCTGCGTGTGGCTCAGCACCTTCTCTGGGTGGGGCACACCTCACATTGGGCTCCCCCGCTCCCACACCAGCCCTCTACCCAGGGGGACGCGGCGCCTGCTCTGCCCGACCTCAGAAGGCCGAGCCCACCTGGGGTGGGGCGCTGGTTACCTGAGTGGAGGCTCTGCAGGTGGCCGGCCTCCGTGACCGGGTAGCCAAGGGTGACCTCGTCAAACTCGCGGAGAAACTCCTCCTCCTCCACCCAGAACTCCCCCTCCTGGAGCTGGGAGAGCAGGGCCTGCGAGGCCCCAGGGTCCACCCGGCTCCACCCTTCGCCCCTGGAAGGGACCTTGGGTCAGAGGACAGCACAGACCTTGGTGGGACACAGGGACTGGGAGGGGCACAGGGCATCCTGAGAGCCCTGGCCGGCTGGCCCCCCGGGGCCCACCCCAGGCCCCGCCCCACACTCAGGCCGCACTTCCCTCGGGGCTGCCGCCTCTCCTTCCACCCTGTGGCCGGCTGAGCAGATGGGCAGTGAGCAGTGACAGGGGACACCTGCCTGTCACCTCAGGCGGAGCTGAGTGTGGGATCTGCCCTCCACCTCAGCCACCCAAGGGGCCCGTCCCAGCGCCTTCGCCCACCAGCGATGGGTCTTAAAGCTGAGCTGAGGATGGGGCACAAGCGCCCCACAGGTCCCTGTGCCTCAGCCTGGCTGGGTGTCCCCTGTTCCACAGGCACCCTCCTGAGACCACCTGGGGCCAAGCAGGCTTTGCTGGGACCACGCAGCACCGTCGGCCACAGAAGCCACCACAGGCCCCTGCTGGGGTGGCTCAGGGAGGGAGCACTGGCCTGCGAACCAGAGTGGCAGGGTCCACTCCCAGTCAGAGCACCTGACTGGGTCGTGGGCCAGGTCCCCAGTAGGAGGCGCCTGAGAGGCTATCACACATTGACGTTTCCCTCTTTCTCCCTCCTTCCCCCTCTCTCTAAAAATAAATAAATACAATCTTTAAAAACAAAACGAAACACAAGTAACAAAGAAACCACCACAGAACCAGGCCCAGGCGCCCCACCCCACCCCACCACGGCAGTTCCCTCACCCCTGCACTCACCCCTCCCTCCAGGGTCCCCGCCAGCACCGCCGGCCCCAGGGGTTCTGAATGCGCAGCAGCAGGATGCGCTGACCAGCCCGGCCCTGGAGCTCACACAGGTCTGAGACGATGAAGGCGTGGAACTCCCCCAACTCCCTGGCACCTGGGCGAGGAACGGCTCTGTCACCGACGGGGGTCCCCACACTGAGCAGACGCACGCGTCTATCTCTGTCTCCAGGGGCCGGTCCAGCCCACCCAGCCGGGGCCCCACTGACCCCCAGGGCTTCCCTGACCACCGTGGACAGTGAGCTTGGCGGCAGCCTTGGCCAGCACGGAGTGCCAGTGAGGGGCCTGGGGCGGGACTTCGGCTCAGCAGGACCAGGCCTGGGGGAGCTCATCCCCTTCTTGGGGCTCGGTCACTGCCTGGCCGGACCAGGCGGCCCCGTGGGATGCCTGGTGCCGAGTCTCGGAAGACTCGGGCCAAGGGGGCCACTGTTGCACCTGCTCTGGGGCTGAACACCGAGCAGCTGATGGGACACCGCTTCTTGAGGCCGAGCAGCTGCCGACACGTCCTGGGCTCCGGGCCGCTGCCGCGGGCCAGGTCCTTCAGGCTCCACCTCTCTGCCAGGCCGCCTGTGAGGTCCACCAGGGCGTCCGCCACCTGCCCTGCCCACAGGCGCTCGTAGGACCCGTGGACCCTGGGAGACAGGCAGGGAGAGGGCCTCAGCACGGACGCGGCGTGCCGCCTCTCCCTCACCACGGCCACACACGATCGTGCCCGCTGGCTGCCGTGCAGTGTCCCAGCAACATCCCGCTGCCTCTGCCCACACGCAGACCCCCTCCCGCACCCCTAGTGCGGCCCCTGGGGGGGACACCTGCTCCCGTGGCACAGGCGGCAGCCCCCCTTCCTCTGTGCAAAGGCCTGCCCGTCGGCCTGGCCGTCAGCGGGGCGGCAAGTGCAGTCTCGAGAGAGGAGGCTCTGTCCAGACCCCTCGAGAGGCTCGGGCTGGGCCGCCACCAACAAGGTCAGCACCCGGGCCTCCTCTTTTCTCCCCAGTGGCCTGCAAGAGGCCTCCTGTCCCGAGTGGTGACGACAAATGGGTGGAAAGTTCTTTCTTGGGATTTGAGGACAGAGAAAGGAAGGAAACACACGCCTACTCTTCACGCCCAGCTGCGCAACAGGTGGGGGTGGCCCCCGGCCCCGCACACGTACTTGGCGTAGGCCTTCTCCAGCAACGGCAGCCAGAACACATCCTCTCTCTGGCACCGGGAGAAGCAGAGTCTCCCTGCAAGACAAGGCAGACGGTCATCTACGGTCACCTCCACCCAGCGTCCAAACTGCCAAACTTGACAGGTGAAGGAGCCACGGTACGTCTTGTCGAGCCAGCTCGGCTGTCCGGGAGGGATGACCTGCCGCGCACAGGGAAAGGAAAAGGAGACCATGAGACAAGCGCCACGTAGTGCCCTCCAGGCATCCAAGCCAGAGTGTGACCGAGCTGTGCCGTCCCCAGTGCTCTGCGGTAGGCAAAGGGTCCGACCTCACGCCACACTCGGGGTCAGCACTCACGGGAAACCACCCCACGGACAGGAAGTCCACAGGCACGTCAATAAAATATTTAAAAAGCTATAGCCCAGTGTCTCATAAAGCTTGATGTCAACCATCGTGTTCTCCTGTCTCAAATGGGCCCTCGACCTGAATCCAAAACGAACGTGACTTTTATAAGCAAGAGACCCAAGTCCCGACAGAGCTGGCTGCAGATGGCAGGTCGTCGCTGCCCCGGCAACCACCCCACTGGACCCAGGTGCTCGCTGCCGGGCTGGGTGCTCTGACCCAGGAGGCAGTGGGGGCTGTAGCTAGATGATTTGTGTGGTCCTGGCTTCACCACTCACCAACCAGAAAACCAGCAACTACGGCTCCAGTGCCCCCATCAGGGAGACAAAGGCCAGAGCCAGTGACACCACTGGTGTAGGCCGGGGCCGCGGGAGGGGGTCTGGATGGGGCCCCACTGCCAGTGGCTGCTGCTGCACTCCTTGGGGACAGCGAGGAGCCAGGAGAGGGCCGCGGAGGCTCCGGGGTGGGTGGGGGTGGGGGACAGAGCGTGAGCTGCCCTCCTACACCTGCCTTGTCTGCCAAGTACCAGACACAGTTTTAATCATCTTTGGCCAATTTATATTCAAGACCTGTTCAAAGTCAACTAGCTAGGTCGCTTATTCTAAACAAGGGCACAGGCTGCCTTGGCCAGCCCTTTTCGATCCAGGCTGGCGCATCTGTCTTTTTAGTTCACAGGAGAGCCCCGGGGGCAGGGGACGCAGAGCCAGGCGGAAAGCTCCTCTGTGGGAGAGGGGGCCCCTGAGGCCCGGGAGCTGAGCACTAGCTCCCGACTGCCTCGTCGAGCAGCCTGGCAGAGCCCCACAGAGCAGGGGTTCAACTGCCTGCCCCCCCCCCCCCCCCCCGCCGCTTCCTTCCTGTGCACAGCAGACAGGAAGACAGACACCTGGTCCAGGAGGTGCCGGCTCTTCTGTAGGGCGGCGCAGGCGCACAGGAACCAGCAGTCCCCCAGCAGCCCTTGCTTCACCTGCCCTTCCTGTGGGTTATCTGGAAACATCCGGGGTGTGGCACAAATTTCCTGCAATAAAGAAAATTGTCCAGAGTTACAATGTGGCTCCTGTCTGGTCTTTAAAACAGAGAACACAGGCCTGAGGCGACAGGCTGGGGGGCGCCTTTCTGCTCACGCACAGTCTGTCCTGCTTAGATTATGAGGCCCCTGCCTCCATCCATCTTCCCTAGTAGGCAAAACCCCGAACTCTGCATGAACACTACCATCCCCTTCTCGAGACAGCTAAATGTCCATCTGGAGAACAGTTTCACTTCAAATCCCTAATGGTCACTCTCAAAGGGGCCCTCTAACCTGCTGGATACCCCACCATCTCTCGGAGAGGGCCCTGTGCCTGCACCACCGACCAGCTCCGCCTGCTGCGCTCTGCTTCTCCCCAGGCGTCCTCACCTTACGCTTCTGTCAAAAGCCCCCTGACCTGCCTGGACTCCTGCTGCGAACCCTCCCTCTGCCCCCTCTGTGCACGGTGTCCCTCCAGCATAAGGCACAAGGGGGACACTGCCCCTCAGCACCAGAAACTGGAAGTCATTCCGATCCCTCCTTTATCCTTGCCCTCTACTTGTCAGGGGTCACTACGACCCATCAAAGTGCTAACAGCATCACATTAACTGTGCAGCCCCTTCGCTCTTCTCCAAGACCACCACAATGGATCGCTCACACTCGTCCTGACCACCCGTTGGTGACACTGAGCTTCCTCCCACTGACACCCAGTTGAATCTTTCCTCTACAGAACACCCTCTCCTGGCTACCCACTGCAACCAAGACCCACTTTTATCCAAATTCCGCTGGTGTGGCCTGTAACGCCCTCCCCACCTTGGCCTCCTCCCAAGTCCAGGAATGATTCACTCCAGGCAAAGCTGTCCCTGAAAGGCTCTGGCAGCCAGTCCACCCGGGAAGGCAGGCTTCTTCCACAGACACTCTCACTCAACACTCAGATAAGCCACTTCTAAAGATGTCAACGTAGCACTCGGCCAGAGCATCTCTTTAAGTTGCCACCTTAAAATGTTCACATCTGAAAATGCAGGTGCACTAAAGTCCAAAAGAGAAATCTGCAGGGTCAAGTGGCTCTGCTTTGTAGGTTCCGCCTGGCCTTCCCACTAGAGCATCAGAGGACCTCGCTGCCTCAGGCACAGGGCACAAAGGAACCATGGGAACTGAGGCCAAGTCCCGACTGACGCCCTGCGTTGCAGATGCAGGAGGGGGCACTGGCTCTGAGCCTATGAGCACGCTCATCTCTCCGGAACCGAACTCACACAGGTGTGGGCCACGAGCACAGGGCCCGGCGCACCCCCAGGAAGCTTCAGGAGGAGCTGCGATGTGGGGTCGAGGGCCTGGGAACCCCCTCCCGAGGACAGTAGCGTACACCCTGCTGTTGCCGGGTGCCCACACCTCTCGGACCCGGCCCCCGTTCCCCCGCTCCGCCCAGCCTCCGCGCTTGCACCCCGGCAGGACACCACATGCAGAGGCCCGACCCAGGACCTCGCAGCCGCTTACCTGGGGCCGCTTCCACGTGATGTCTTCTCGGAACTGGGCCAGCGGTGTGGAGAAGCTGGAGAAGAGCGAGGAGTCCGAGGCAGGGAAGGCGGCGTCCCGGAACAGGTCCCTGGCCGGCGCCCGCATCTTGGGTGCCCTGGGCTCCCATGTGCAACCCACGCCCGGGGGCCGAGCACGGCCGAGGGGGGAGCACAGCCCGGCAGGAGGCAGAGTCGGATGCTGTCCCCGGGCTGCCTGACGCTCTCCTGCTCCGCCGAGTGCTCTATCACGTCAAACCCGCAGCGCCTACGCCGAAGCTCGCCGCCGCTCGGTCGCCCTGGTAACCGCAGGGTTCCGAGGCTGCAGCCAACCAGGCACGGGGCATATAGTCACATGACACCGTAGCCCAATTGTACCCGAGCGTAAGGGTAAGATTCCCACCAGCTCCCCGGGAGCGTGGCAACCAAACTGGGCTGTCGCGAAGCTGCACTTCTCTTTCCGGGCCAAAGGGACTCGGAAGAGTTCCGGCCGAGCTTTAAGCTCGAGGAAGCCGGCGGCTCTCTTGTCCTTGGGCCTGTGCGGGTCCGGCTGAGCGGCTGGGACCTCTTGGACTCGCGCGCTCTGGGGCCGAAAGTACCAGAGAGGCCGCCTCGGCCGACGTCGCGCCGTGGACCACAGATCCCAGCATGCAGCGCGGCCTCCAAGGCTGTGCCTCTTTTTCCGGCCTGCGGCGTCGCGTCCGCCTGTGTAGGCGGAGCCAAAGGGAGACCCACTTGGGCGGGGGAGTCGCGAGCCGGCCGAGGTGTCCGCAGGTGTTGTTGCTGTGCCCATGGGGCCTGGGGAATCAGACGGCCCGGGGTGGTGGGGTGGGGGAGGGCCTCCCCCACCCCCTGGAGGCTGGCTTAAGGTCATTTGGGATCAGACGCGGCCTCCGGTTCAAGTGGCCGGGATTCTGGTCCTGATGGGCTGGACAGTGACCAGCCGGAGTTGCGGCTATAGCTCATGGCCGCTCGGTGTTGCGGTGAGGTGAGGACAGTGATTTCAGGACCTGCTCAAGGACTCACTCTTGCTGCAGAACCTACCCTTCCTGCCTTCCCTCCCTGCGCGATCCCAGGAAGGAAAGCGGCCAGCCACAGACTTACTTTCTCCCTTTTCCTCCAAGCTTCGTGCTTCATTATGGCTGCTTTTGCTTGGGCTCAAAAGTAGGTCTTTCAAGCTGGGATGGCACAGTGAGGTCAGAGGCCCAGCTTTTGAACCAGCAGTGGAGAAAGACTTAGTTTCTTAGAAGGCACTCGGTGATTAGTCGTGATTCAAAAGAGAGACAGCGCCCGAGGGGCGTGGCCACGGGTGAGACAGCCCAGAGGCCCTGTGGAATTGCAAGGACTGGCTTTGGGGGCCCCGTTTAGGAAGCTTACGGGACTTTTAGTAAAAGGATGGCCTTACGCGCAGTCGAGGGCGATCCTGAGAAGTGAGGAGGGTTCCACCCGGGAGGGCTAGTTTGTACGCTCCTCACACATCCCACAGGTAGGTATCACGGCGGCATTCAAAAAGGAGGAGGTGGCGGCCCAGGGCGGCGGGACACCCGTGGCTCCATGGGGGGCGGGGCAGCCGGCATTCCCGCCCCAAGAAAACCTCATTCACTTTGCTTACTGCTACTGGAGGAGTGCATTCTTTCAGAGGGATGTTTTAGATTAAATTTTGTTTTTTTAACCTCCTTATAAAAATAATATGGAAGTGCTCATCTCAGTCTGTTGAGATCTTGCTTCCAGGTGTATCCTCTCTTTGGTTCAAATAAATTTTTATAAAAATTCAAAATAGATGCTCCTTATAGGATGCCCCCCAACTACTGCTCCCAAATGGTTGTGTTCCGAAGTTCTGTTATGAACACAATACATGTGATCCCCACAGTTGACTCCAGTCCTTTTGAGACAGGATAGTAAGAAGCCAGGAAAATTACTTGGCAAGCGGCATAGGGAAACTGAGATGTACCTGAACACGATGGCTGGGCAGTTTACAGCCAGATACGAAAGTTCACCTCCCTAGAGGGAACATCCAGGCCTCATTGTGTTTCAGCTCCAGGGCCCCCAAAGCAGCAAAACCAGGGGGGCAAATGCCAGAACCAACTGCAATGACTGAAGGACCTCCATTGGTGGAGGTCAGTGGAGACTTTGGCCCTGAAAGGGCACACGTGGGGAACTGATGACTATTCACAGACCCTTCCCCTAAGGTTCCTGCACGCAAGAGAGGGGCGAAAGTCTCAAGACAAAGGACCCAGCCCCAGCTCTCCCTTTGGGGAGCACCTCACAGCATTCCCTTCCTTTCCGCACTTCTTTCTTCACATGCAGGTATCTCCTGAACTCTCAGGCAATAGGCAGCTGGTCCCAGGCTAATCCCCGGAACCTGTCCCCAAAGCCCCCTTTTCTCTGACTTCCCAGTGAGCCAAGGCAGCCCACCCTGGGCTCTCCTGTTGCTTCCTCCTCTATGCTAAGTCCTTCCTTGTTTAACTGTCTGCAGCTTTAATAAATGGTTCCTCACAGTCACCTGGACTCATGTTGTGAAATCTTTCCTACACAAAGTCAAGAACCCACACACTACAGCTGACCCTAGGCGGGCACACTTGGGGCCAGGCCCCTGTCTGGTAACACTTGAACATAGTATGTGTCAGGTATTCATTGCCCCCTGCCTCATGTGGGTGCTGCTGTAGTCATTGCAGAGTGGAATCTTTTTCTGTCAGCTTGCTCCTTCATTTTTGAACAAAGGTTGTCTGGGCCTGGATGGGTGGTGGTAATCTTCACATGCTGCTGTGATCCCATTAAAACTCGGCTGAGACGCTGGGCTGCCACAGACAGCCCGGCCAAATCCGTGTGTTTAGTGGCCAGTCCCTTCTGGGGCTTCCATTCTCCCTGAGTCTTGCCAGCTGACTTTAGAGATGTCAACCAGTGGTTCTCAGCACCACTCCAACACTGCAGAGAATTTCCCATTTGGGATGCGGTGGAGGAGGAAAGGAGGAAACTATTCGGCGCCCAACTCAATTGCTATACAGCAACCAAGACCCTCCCTGGCTAAAAAGCTTTGCACCACAGACCCTACTATAGAAACCGAGTCTCCAATAAAAGAAAAGTTCAATCTCTGAGCCTGCAGGGATCTGGCTTATATAGCTAGAAGTCCCCGCCCCCTGGTCCCTCATTGGTCTGTGCTTTTCCAAATTAATTGGGCCAAAAGGCACTGTCCTGATTGGTCAGAATGGAGCTTCTCTGATTGGTTGAGGAAGAAGGTGTGTGTAGCAGAGGTGGGAAGAACCTCAGTCCTATTGGCTGACACTGGATCCCAGAAGCCCCTTTATAAGGGCGGCTGAGCAGCGGGACACAGTACAGGCAGCAGCTCCATGCAGGGCTGGTCTCTTGTGTGGTTTGCATGAGGGGCTCCTGTGCAGAAATGGTTTCTGGGCTCAGTATATATCTATTTTTTTAATTTTAGCCATCAGGAACCCCCCTTAAAAGGAATTTTCTTTCGCAAGGTCTACAGAGAGAAAGTGGAAGGAATACATAGCCTTAAGAGCAAATATCAGGTTCTTCTAAGTACAGGAGAGTGTGGCAGGGAGAACACCTGGATGGGTACCTGGGTCGGGCGGGTTGCCCAGAGCATGGCTGCCACAGGTGGGGAGGCCTAGTGGGGGAGGGGAGAGGCCCCCTGGGGGTGGAATGAAGGACATGTTGAGAGTGAGGATGCCTTGATCAATCTGAACTTTTTCCTGAGGCTTTGTGTCCCTGTGACTCCCCTGACGTACCTTTTTCTGCATGCTTTCCCTTGTCCCTTTGCTGACCCTGGGAGCACCTGTCTTGCTCTTCCAGGTTTCTGGCTGGCTCTTCCACACCCCCTTTGTCTCTGTGCCAGCCCCTGGGCCCAGGGCCCCAGCAGATCTGGAGCTTGCAGCCCCTCCCTCCTACCTGGACCGCACCCCCAGCTCCACAGACTCCACCCTCCTCCGCCTCAGCACTCCGTTTTCTGTCCTGAAAACGCCGCTGCCGCCCAGCGTCCGCCCCTGGCCCTTGGGGGAGTTATGGATGCCACTTCTGTGCACATCATGGGAATGGCCTCATGAGGACAGTGTGAACAGAACGGGCGCATGATCCCCACGTATCCCAACACCGGTGTATCCGTGGCAGGGCGCCTGGAACGCTCCAGATGTCCTGTCCTCCCTCAGCACGGGAGGTGGGTGCTCCCTCAGCACCTGGTGGTGGGAAGACACCCACCCCACTGCTGGCCCCCGAAGTGGAAAAGTGGCACGAGAGGCACCTAAAGCTCCGTGCTCCGAAACATCGGCCTTCCAGAGCCGCTCGCTGCCGAGTGCACCACGGCCAGCGTGGTCCGGAAAGCAGCCCCTTGGGGAGGCTGCTGCCCTAATGACGGAGGGGGGCGTGCCGCCAGCCCAGGGGCTGCCTGGGGCCCGTTACCCGAAGCGGGAATGTTGGCGAGCTGTCATGCAACCACGGAACATTTGGGGAAACAGCCGTGATGACTTGTGAGGTGATGACATCCTGAATCGCTCAGTCTGGCGGACAAGCTGGGAAACATTAGCAGCATGTGCTGATCACGGGCTGTGTTGGGCAAGATACTACCAGGAAGAGGTGGGCTGGGAGGTACTCAGGGTTTGCGAGCTGGGAGGAAAAGAGCTGAGAAAGGCCAGGGATGCAGGGACACCCAGGCTGAGAGCACCCTGCTCGCCCCAGAGAGCAAATCACAGCCGGAACACGTGGGGCAAAGGCGGCATCGCTGTGGGTGTGGTCCCCTCTGTTGGAACTGCTGGGAGCACCTCTGAGCTCTCCAAAGGAGGGAGAAGCTGGCTGGGTGGGGGATGGTCCTGGGCCCACAGGGTGGAGCCACTCTCAGCGGCAACCAACCAGCAGGGCTGTGGGCCCTTGGAGCTGGCCCGAGTACGTGTTGAGACCCCCACTTTGTGAGAGCTGAACTGCCAAAGAAACCCAGAGCAGGCACCAACAGTTTGGGACTAGAGACTTGCATACGGCCTCTGCAAGGAAGAGGCTGAGTGGCGGGGCCCCCAAAGAGGCCTTATTGGCCAGCATCATGTTAGAGGAGCAAGACAAGGATATACCCTCCAGCGTGGAGCCAAGGGCCCCAGTGCACCCTGGGCTAGGGTGCCCACTTGGGGACATGTCTCTTGCAGTGCCTACCTGGCAAGGTTCCAGGTGGCTACAGGGCGGGTGCTGCGAGGTACCTCCTGTGTCCCTCTTCCCCAGGATGTCGCAATGACCTAGTTCCTGTTTCCTGGGTGGGGGGATGGGGGCAAACTGTCTGGGTGGGGGTAGGGTCCCACTCATGCCTGGTGCAGGGCAGGCACGGGGACCCTCATTCCTGGAGACCAGGGAGACCCGGCATGCACTTGTACCATGTCTGGGCGGGGACCGGGCCACCTCAGGGGAAGGGGTGGTCTGAAGTGCAGGAAGAGTCACTGGGGCATTTGGTGACCTACGGGCTGGACGTGGCAAGGCAGGGTTTCTGGTCCATTTCTGAGCCTGCCACATCCTGGCCCCTTGTTGAAGAGGGGGGGCCTCTGTGCCTGGGTCTGGCCAGTGGGTAGGGTCCCAGGTCACTCTGGGCCAGAGCACGTAATTCTGGCACGGGAGCTGTGACCAGCCAGAGACCGCCACCACCATGGGGACTCAGTGGTTGCACCTCGGTTGCAGCCCACAGCTCAACCGTCTTTCATGGTAAAGCCCTGAATGTGGCCC